CGTATGGAGCGTATACGTGAACTGAAGGATGCCATTAAAGCGGAGGATAAGGAGGAGGAAAAAATGATTGCATATATAAAAAATCGTGCCGATGCCTATGTCATGTTGCGGTAGGTGCTACAGTGTTGGCTAGAAAAAGCTTTTACCTTGTGCGGAAAATTAAGTATAAAAAAGCTCTGCCTGCTGCTTGCGAAATGATCAACACTGGCTTACTCTAGTGACGCCCAAAATGTATGTAGCCTGCGGGAAGAGCTTTTTTAAGCTTTCTACAGATTTTGCGCCAATCTGCATCGATTTTGCGCGCGGGCAAAGAGTTTTGAAGATTAAAGGTTTTCAGTGGTTTCTTATTTCTATCGGCTACACACTTCACACAGCCCCATTATACAATATAAAATAAAATTCAACACAAAATCTTCTACACAAATTTCTTTGCAGCTTTTCATTGTGGAACTTGAATGAGATTCTTCGACATGTCGATCGCACCGATAAACTATCGCGTATGAAATATCCAAATTCATATTTACGCTTGCCTTTGCTGAAATTTGAGATGTTGACGATGCGCGCAGTCGCACCAGAACCGTATGAGGAGAACAGTGAGCTAAATAAAACTATTAAACAAAAAAAAAAGTTTTTTTTTTTTTTAATAATTTCTGGCCCACGCTTTAGTTGACACTATTATGCATACGGTTATCCGTAAGGTCCACAAATTAATGAGCGCCTACAAGGAGGAGGTGCCAGCTGACGCATTGAAGCAGTTTGTTAATAACTATCAGGATATATTCCTCGAAAACATGGAAATTGAAGATATTGGCGATAGTGCAGAAGTGCAGGAACACGACGACGATGAAGAAGATATGCTACAGGAATCCAAACCATTGCATAATGTACTGAATCGCAAACAGATTAAAGCGCAAAGTGCCAAATTGGTCGAAGAGCTGTCGAAGAAGGAAGATTAGTCGAGTGTGAGCGTATGTGCGCTAAATAAATTTTTAGTGCCAATTATATATTTCAAATAAATATTTTTGTTATTATTTTTACCAAAAATTTACTAAAATTTTCTTTTCATTTATTTGGGTTTTCTAGTTCTCGCCAGTTAGCAAAAAAAAAAAGAAATGGCTGGAGCATAGATATACTCTTATTTCTAAATTACAAGAAGACTCTTCTGAACTTAAGCTTTCTGTTATGGCTGCTGGCTTCCGATATTTCCATTTTTTCAATCGGTCGTTTTTACATTCTTTTCTATTAAAAATTTTAAAACTGTACTCAACTCAAACAGCCGAATCTCCAAAAAGAAATGATCTTATGCACGATCCGCAAGGCTGCAAAATAAACGCAAAACTCCATGCAAGCCATTGCGTCAATAACGGCTGTTTAACACTGGGTTATTCGGTCAGTCTCAGTCGTTGTTAGTGATGAACACATTTTTTTTTTTTTAGAAGCTACCCACATTTAGGCCAACGCCACAAGAAATTTTTGGTATGTAGGTTTGTTATATTACAAAGTTGGTACACACACACATACATAAGTACTTAGTAGTGGCAGTTGTGATGCTGGCTGATGCTCAACAAATTCGTGCACCAATTTCTACTTCATCTGCTGTAATAAAAATTCGTCTGTAGCAATACTACCATAATGCCAAAACAAAAAGAACAACAGAACTGGGCAACAAACAAGAAATTGCGATTGCTACTGGCGCATTAAAGTCAGCCAACATTTTGTTGTTTACTCTATAATTTCATTCATTATTTTCAAAAGTGGGGGAAAATGGCTGCTTTGTCAGACCAATCAATGCACTACAGCCATTGGGTGGGAGGGATGGATGACGGTTGATTTTGTGCCAAAATAAAGGTAAATTCGCCATTGTGGTGTTACAGCGGCGGATAAAACCAATGCTTGTCGATTTTGTTGTCTGTGAGTTTTTGTTGTGAACAAAAAGATGTTGCTACGTTTTCATACAACAATTTAAGTGGGTGTATTACCTTAGCAAACTTTGCGCTAGCTTGGTAGTTCTATCGCCATAAAGGCAAATGGCTCTAAACTTGTTGTAAACCTTGCTTTTGATAAAGCTAGCTACTAAACTCATCACTCACATAGAGTGGGTGTCAGGCCACAGGCAATTCGGACAAATCTGCGAATACACCTTTCACCACGATGACATTTGGCCTAAGTTCTTAGTTGGATACTGCGTTAACCTAACCTAACCCAACCTTTTTCAGTGTCTCCTACATGACAGCTGCTGCAACGGGTTCTATTGTAGGATAGTCTTATTTTCTCAGCATGCAAAGTTAGGGGCTGTCTAGTCAATTCAAGAAAGCTGCATGCACATAAATCAAATGGTGTTAGGGTGAGCTTAGTGTTAGGTAGTTCAGGCGTCACGACCATCACGAAATTGCTTATGAAGAGTGGAGTCGTCACTTACTGTTAGTCAGAAATCATGATCATAATTACAATAGGACTGTCAAAAGTAGCTACAGATTTAATTTAGTGATCAATAAGGTAAAATAAGTGCCAAGAATTTTGGATTGCAAATGAAAGAGAAAAATAAAAAAAGGCAAAATTTCCACCCAATGTGGTTCAACGATCTAAACAACATTAGACAACTAAAACAATAGTTCTTTGTCCGGAAAAAATCGATCATATAGAGCCGATTGTCTTGGGAATTGGAATACACCATCTGCTGAACCAGACGGGCGGTACAAATACAGTCTATTATAGACAGGTTATTCATAGAGAACCAATCAACACCTACGCCAACTCTCACACCTTGAACCAACGCCATCCATCGCAAACGAAGAGCTAGAGTTGCTTCGTGGAGCTCGAAATACTTTTGACACAACGCCATTCTGGATATTGTACCAGGTTTAAGATGCCCCGACGATCATCTCCTCATATGTCCACTCACATCAGCGCGTCTAACATACCTCTCCCTACGGCCCAAATCCGTCGGATCGGGCTTTTCCTGAGCTTGCTGATGGATGAGATTGAAGATAACGTGCAGTCGATTCACTGACTTAAACTCGGTTTACAAATAAGTAAATTATCCTCATTTTCGAGGTTAGCCCCCTAATCTGTAATTAGAAAAAGAGAGTGATTAGCAATACAAAATTCATCCCTCGTTAATCTGTGTTTATAAAATATTCTCATATTAAGTCGATAAGTTTTCGTAGCGCTCTTTCATCCAAGTAGTTAGAGCTTATTCTAGAGAGATACTAGGTTGCTGACAGCTCATCTACGGCCGCTAGAATCTTTTGCCAGACTCCCTAGTTAAGTGCGTTTTTAATATCAAGAATTACTATTTCAAAGACAATATTTGATAGGGCCTCCTTCCTTTTATGGCATCCTTCGCCATATACTTTGGCAGTTTGATGGCGTCAACAGTTGACTTTTCCTTCCGGAAACCAAATTGATTTGGTGATGGAGTCTTTAATGAATTTATTTTTTAAGCTTTGTAAATTATACGCTCTAGGAGTTTTCCCGCCGCATGCGGAGTGGGCGGAAGTTAGACGGGTCAGTCAGCGGTTTCTTGGACTTCGGTAATAGCCGTAGCTTCTGCCTTTCCAAAATAAGTAGAAGAAGCATTCACGTATGTATTTTGTCCTCACTGCAATTACATATAAACATACATACATATGTATATATTTGATGCAGAAAAAATTTAAAAGTTTCTGCCAAAGAGATAGTAAGAACTGCAGAAACCGAACCAATATTTCATAGTTCAATTGTTTACTTTGCTTCTTCATCAAAATTGAGTTACTACGAACACAATTAGAAGCGACTGTTGTTGATTTTGATATTGTTGCTGTAGCAGCGCAATGCGCTAACGTGAGTGAGCAATAATGCCTATTTCAGCAACTTTTAATGCTACCAATAATTGCACTATGCAGTTAATTGTTTCGGGCAGTTCATTTTCGGGCGCAACGAATAGAGTAACAATGCTCAGTGATTTTCAAAAAATGTTAGTGTTTTTGGAATTAGACAAAGAAATCGTAATAGGGAGGTTGAAAAATTTGCTGGAATTAGTAGGGCGCTCCGCCCCAACTCCAAACTGCTCTTAGGCATTGCCTGTTAGGCTGCTTACCATCAGACTATTAAGCAGTGCTTTCTCCTTCAACCCGGCATGTGAGCACTCGTAAATCTTTCGGAAACTTCGACTTCATATCTGCAGAAGCGGGTCGTCACATAGCTCACCTGGATCTCAATTAAATACTTCTCTACACACATTCGTCTAAGGTGCGAATGGGAGATTGCCAGACTTTCGAGCAGAGTTCAATTAATATATCCACATATTTTGGGATATTTTTGGAGATTTTAGTATTACTTTCCGGGCCTATTGGAATATATTCGTGAACTTTATAGGCTTTTTCGAAAGTTTTGGGGCTAAAAGATTTTTTTTAGTTTCGAATATTTTTCCAGCCATCTTGGGACCCTTGGAACTTTTCGGGATAATTTTGGGTAACTTTTGGAATGATTTCGAGATATTCGGAGGTTTTGGTTTCATAGGCTTAGCGAGTTTTCTGGGTTCTTACAGGGTTCTTACCTTTTAATAATCTTTTATAGAAGAATTTCTTGCAGAATTTTTTTCAGAATTTTATTTCTTTTTTTACAAACCAAAAAAACCAAAGCCAACCACACTGCAAAACTTAATATTGTTACCAGATTATTTGAAATCTTATCCCAAACTATATACTTTTTTTCAACAAAACCGCATAAATGTGGCTCATTAAATCTCAACTCAATAAAAATGGCACATTAAGTGGAGAGAACACTAAGAGCAGCTTTATCAGATAAAATGCAATTATTAAATGGAAACTCCAACTGACTGAGTGCAGACAAATGAGGCAATCAAAGTTTTTATACTTACAAATACCCAAAGCATATTTAGCATAATTTATTGCAAATATTTTACTAAATAATTGGTGATTTACGGCTTTGAACGCAATCATATAAAAATTATGACATAAATTAAGAGATCGACACGGTGGATGACAACACTACAAATTACTCTTTTATATGCATATTTTGTGTTTATCTTTATTCTAAAATTCTTAGATTTTTCCACGAGTTAATCTAGCAGCTAGCTGGTATTTTTTTTGCTTTTGTTTTCTGCACATTTTGGCACATAGCGAATAACTAACAAAAGACTTAAGCGACAAACTCAACGGCGGCAACATATACATGCATACAACATAAAATTCCGCTTTTGTTTAAATAAATACAATTATAATTTTTGCTCATGTAAACTAAGACTAGAACGTTGCTAATGAGCGTTAGCAATAATTTTGGCTTGTAGAATTATTTTACAATTTTCAATGACAGCAAAGACTTCAAAAAAATTGCGACACATCAGAAGCACAACTAACAAAAATAAAGTATGCATAACACACACACACATATGTAAGTACACTTTTACGAAAAAAAATTTAATGAGTAATTAAATCGCTGAATTAACGTTATGTTGTCGCAATTAATTTAAAATGTTTCTGAGACTCAAAGTAATCTGACAGTGAAAATCATAAGCAAGTAAATAGTAGTAGTGGGAAGCATGACAGATTAAGAATGATCTAAACGTGCATAGGAAAAATAGTTAAAATTAAGCAAACGATGAGGATGCCATGAATACCGTTAAATATCTTCATACTGAATGATGTTTTGTTTTTAATATTTAAAATGTTTTTCAAGCCCAAATTTTTTTTGCTATTTTTATATAAATAAAAATATAGTTATTTCTTTAACAAAAACCATATACGTGAATCAAATTTTCAAACTTTATGCAGAATTTGGAACAATACAAAAAATTTTCATGAGAATTTACAGCTTTAAAATTGCAAATTTTATAAAATTTTTCGGTAAACGGTTACAAGGCGTATGAATTTTAAGTAAAATGAGTGCAAGTTTTGCGCAGCTAAAAAATGGCATAGATTTTTAATATATATTTTTTTCTTAACGGCGTTTTGCGCTTTTTTCCTTATAAAGATGAATTTCTTGTGGA